TCTTTATTAGAATGATAAATTATTTTAAAAATACTTTAAATGCTATTTTTATTATGGATCTTATCGAATGTTTGATATCGAAAAATAAATCATTTTCCATAAATTATACTGCTTACGTCACCGACGGCAAAAAAAATGAATTTTAAATTTTGACACGAAAAAAAGGAGGAAATAAAATAATATAATAATAATTAGAAAGTAACGTTGAATGAAACATTGGCAACGTCTTATCTCAAAAACGTAATGGAAATACATTAAGTTCATGATGTTGTATGTTTTCCAAATAGCCTCATCATATATGGTACGATAAACAAAGCAACGTATAGTTCACCTATTTACAGACGTACATCTTGATTCAGTGGCTTACAAGATACGTTTTTGCTACGCTTACGAAAAAATCGATCGAACGCATAGATAAACATAGCATTATCATTTTAAACTTCATTGAATCTCAGTGTCATAAGTAATTGATATGTAATCAGAAAGAAGCCAAGCCATGGCTCTCTCTTTCATCCATCAGAAGCCTTTACAAAGGAGCGTTTCATGTGTTGCAGCCAAACATTCATTTATGTAGGTGCATCTGATATTGAATATGCAAATTATAGGGTAATGCACGATGCAGTCTGCCTGTATAGAAGAAATGTAAACTGAAAGTTTAGGTATAGCTTCACAAATACATGCACTGCTAATCGTGGTATAATGCATCGATATACATGAGCTGCAAATAGCTAAGTTCAAGGTTCACGAAATTTAATTTAAAAAAAAAATTGTAATTTGTGGTAGAACAAATGATTATTTTGTAGGTGCTTAAATAATAGATTAAATTAATAGTTTTGAATATAACAAGTTATTACAACTATTTTTTTTATAAATTATTTACATTGCCCATTATTTCATTTATAACGATAAATCTTTTGATTTAATATTTTTCAAAATAATAAGCAAGATTTCTTGAATTAAATATGATACATCAGTACCGTATACTAAATAGAAAAAAATGTAATTACAGATATGCCTTCCGATAACGGAGCAGAAGATTCAATATGCTGAGGGCAGAGAGAAAAGAACCTCAAGCTGTAGTCATCGCGAGTCTGCTGATTACACTTATCACCTTACCACACATAACTTCAGGTGAGAAAGCAAATCTCTTTTCCAGCCTGGAAACAGTTCAAAAGTTGCAACGGTTTTTACGACTCACTCCACCAATTGGGTTTCGTGGTGTAGCGGTTATCACGTCTGCTTTACACGCAGAAGGTCGCCAGTTCGATCCTGGCCGAAATCACATTTTTGAAGATTTCAGTCATTTTTTTTTTTTTTTTTAATATTAATTTAAAAATTAGGTCGGTCTGATGTGAAACTGCTCTGATTGAGTTTCGGGGTGTAGCGGTTATCACTGCTTCAATCTTTCTAAGAAAAACCAAAACACAGGTAGTGTAAAACTCTTCTATTTTATTCTATATTATAAAAACAAAATGTATGATAGCGAGTGTCCTAAGGGACCATTCTGTCTGACTAAATCAATGATGTTATTTTTGTTCATGTTTAATAACTGTATAACATAATATTTGTCCAATAAACTCGAACTTTAAAAAAATCACTGCTTCAATAAACACATAAATATCTTTGCAAAATAAATTAAAAAAAATTAACAAAAAATGAAAGCAACGACTACATAGTTTTCGAACCAGTACTTATAAATAAATAACATTATAGGAAATTTCTTCCACGAAATTAATTCTAAAGATAGTGACTCAGGGTCAACTTTAGAAAAAAACAAGTATGAAAAAATTTAATCAAAGTCTTGAAAAAAACAAAATCACTATCCCTGACAATGAAAATCTTAACAACACTGAAATAGATTCTTACATAAATAAGCTATAAGCATAAATATTTGATGCAATACAAGCATCGACACCTACTTTTTCGATTAAAAATCATAATGATACGCTATTAAATAAAAAAATTGTGCAACTCTACAAAGAGAAGCATAGCCTACAATCTAAAATACATAGAGTGTGTAATAAAAAAGACCCAATATCAGTTGAGCTTTAAAAATTCCTAAAAAAAAATATGAAAAGTGTCAAACAAAAACTCTACCACGAGTTTAGTAAAGAAGCAAATGATAACTGGGCAGATCTCATCAAAAGTATAAACTATAAGGAATCAGCTAATTTTTTCCCAAAACTTAATGAATTATTTAAAAGAAAAAATAATAATGATGAGATAAATAATCTAATTATTAGAAAAAATAACATGCTAACTTATTAGACACATGCAAAATAAATAAAGATACTCTGACCGCGAACGAGAATAACGATTTTACCATTGCTGACCCCTTATTAACCCATTAAGTCCCAAGAGGACGTTTTTTTAACACTTTATTCGGCCACTGTATTTTTGGTGTAAATGGGGTCAAAAAAATATGCGAGTAACTAATTCTAATGTAAAATTTAATGCCCTTTCAGAATCTGACCTCAGATTTATGAAAAAAAAATCAGGTCAAAAGTTACACTTGATTTTACCCAAAAAAACATGATTTTTAAAGAAAAATTGTTTTTATTTTTCGAATTTCCAAATGAAAACCATTAGAAATCTTAGGGGTTTCGTGCAAATATCGCGTCCTCAATACCAAAACTAATAGTTAGTGGGGTTTAGATTGAAGAAAATAAAGTTAAAAAATACACTTTTTTCTCAAGTCCTTCGTTTTTGAGTAAAAATACTATAGGTTTTCATTCAATTTTGCGAGTTTCGCACGCCATTTTTTGTGTTTGAACATTGATTTTTTTAATCGGTACCCCACTAACTTTCAGTTTAGATATCGAGGACGCGATAATTGCACGAAACTCTTGAGATTTCAAATGGTTTCTATTTGGAAATTCAAAAAATAAAAAAATTTTTTTTTCAAAATCACGTTTTTTTTTTATAAAATCAAGATTAACTTTTGACCTGATCATTTTTTTGAAAATCTGAGATCAAATTCTGAAAGAACATTAAATTTCACATTAGAAATAGTTCCTCGCATATTTTTTGACCCCATTTTTACCAAAAATACAGTGGACGAATAAAGGGTTGAAAAAACGTCCTCTTGGGACTTAATGAGTTAATAAATCATGTGATAGGTGAATTTTTTCATAAAATCAACTCCTAAGACATTGACTTTAAATCACCAGTAGAAACATTAATAACTAAAAAATTTCACGAAAAATACGATGAATTAATTGTACTACCTCCATTAACGACCTATAACAATAATAATAGGGCTACCAGCCCTACTCTCCCCCGCGATACAGCCAAGTACCTATTTACTAATGTACATACAGTTAAGAAAAGAATACGGATAATGAGAAATAAAACTTCTGCTGGATGGGATGAAATACCAATGCCGTAATTAAAAAATTAAACAATCATTACATTAAAAACTACACTATATTTCAATAATTGCCTCAACAATGGCTACTACCCTGAAGCTTGGGAAAAGGCGAAACTCATAGTATTAAACAAAAAATCTGGACAACCTCTTGAAATAGATAACCTCAGACCCTAAGCCTAAGACTCCAAGACTCCTCAATTATATGAACTCAACATAGTTGATCAGCCAGCAGCAACTTGCATATACTTATACAGTCATTTTCACTTTGCCGCTTGCAGATTTACAAATGAAGGTACTCGCCATCTAGTGAGAAAGGCTAGAATTAATTACCATTGCTTTTTTATGAATTGCTTGGAAAGCTTGTGCATATATATATCGAATGCAATTCAAGCACGATTTTTTTCAAACAATTCATTAATTTCAATTTTTTTTTGAATAATTTTTCGCATACAATTATTTTAACTTTGCCACTTGAAGATTTATAAAATATAGAAATAAACAGTACACAGCAAATATCTCAAACGAGTCAGCAACTGCAAGCTACTCTCAAATAATCATACACGTTTCAAAAAATTAAACAAATCATGTCTGCTTTACACGCACGAGGTCGCCAGCTCGATCCTGTAGGAAATAAGTCACATTTTTGAAGATTTCAGTAATTTTTTAGATTTTTTTTGGAATATCGATTCAAAAACTCGATCGGTCTTAACAAAGTAATTCTACAAGTGGGTTTCGTGGTGTAGTGGTTATCACGTCTGCTTTACACGCAGAAGGTCGCCAGTTCGATCCTGGCCGAAATCACGTTTTTGAAAATTACAGCAATTTTTCAAACATTATACATATTTTTATATATCGATTTATAATTCATATTTTTATTACAATTTTTTTAATTATTACAATTTTCTGTCAATGAAACATGATACAATACATAATATTATAAAAGGTACAAAAATAACACTATTTATTCAGGAAAAAATATTTTTAAAATTTTGATTTATTAATACGATTTTTACGTAAAATTTTAAAAAAGTTTAAAGGTTGAAGGGCTAATCGGTATGGTACTGAGATGACATCTGCATATATTATCAATTGATAATTTCACTCTCTATTATTTTTGAAGATAATTATTGATGCTGAGCGTAGCAAAGTCGTACACATTCGATATTGCTCATTTTCGATGTTTTACTCTAACTGCGATAACTCATGCAGGGATAAACCAATCGATCTGAAAATTTTACATAGCATTGTTTCGGTACTGATGGAGTGCTGTATACTTTTTTAGCGTCATCCATATATCCTAATATACAAAAAATGCCTTTTTATGCAATTTTGAGTTTTGCACGTCGCGACTTCTCCACTTCGAAAAAAAGTAATTTTTGTTTGCGATCGGTCTTACTTGTGTATCGGTATTTAACATTGTACTTATGACAAGTATATTATGTGTCGTGTTTTGAGTACCACTATACTGAGCGTAACATGTTTGAGATATAGTATAATTATGTCGTGTTTCAGTTAACATTGTACCGATGACAATTATATGTCGTGTTTTGATTATCACTACTGAGAAAAAATTTATGATATGTTTATTTATTATATGCTAATAAATAAATACATGTTAATTTATGATATGTTAATTTATTTATTTATTTCGATGTTTCATCATTTTGCGCGGTATTGATAGGTACGTTTTAAGATCTTTTATATTGATCTCGTGCTTGGGTATTGCCTTCATGCACACTTTTGACGTGTCTGCATAAATATTTTCTATGTTTAAATTTTTTTCCGCATAAAACCTAAGCGTGATCAATGTCTTCATGCTGCGTTTTAATGTGAGTTATAAGACGATCCTTTTGAGAAAATGTCTTGCCGCACTTACTACAATAAGTGGTTTTATTATGCATCAAATTCATGTGTTTTTTAAGATTACCCTTTAGTGTGAATGTCTTTCCACACGTAACACACGTATGTTTAACACCATTATGTCCCTCGATATGCCTCTTGAGATCTCCTTTTAGTGTGAATGTCTTTTCACATATACTACACGCATGTTTAACACCATTATGTACTGCATCGATATGGATCCTGAGTTTATTCTTCGTTTGAAATTTCTTTCCGCACACTTCGCAAGTAGATGCCATACCATTATGCATCGCATCGATGTGAATTTTGAGATCTCCTTTTCGTGTGAATGTCTTTTCACATATACCACACGCATGTTTAACACCATTATGTACTCCATCGGTGTGGATCTTGAGTTTAGCCTTGGTTGAGAATTTCTTTCCGCACATTTCGCAAGTACGTGCGATACCTTTATGCATCGCATCGATGTGAATTTTGAGATGACCTTTTTGTGCGTATGTCTTGCCACATATACCACACTCATGTTTAATACCATTATGAATTGCATCGATGTGAATCTTGAGATCTCTTTTTTGTATGAATGTCTTTCCACATAGACCACACGCATGCTTAAAACCATTATGAACTCCATCGATGTGGACCTTGAGATTACCTTTTCGTGAAAATTTTTGACCGCATATATTACATGGATGTTTAACACCATTGTGTGCATCGATGTGAATCTTGAGTGCAGCTTCAGTTAAGAATTTCTTCCCGCATACTTCGCAAGTAGGTGCCATACCATTATGCATCGCATCGATGTGAATTTTGAGATTTCCTTTTCGTGTGAACGTCTTCCCACATACACCACACGCATGTTTAACACCATTATGTACTGAATCGATGTGGACCTTGAGATAATTTTTTCGTGCAAATTTTTTACCGCATATATTACATGGATATTTGGTACGATTGCGTGCCTTATCCGTTTGGGTTTTGCGTTGACTATTTTGAGCAAATGTTTTTTCATTTGCATCAAATGCATCACTGAGTTCACCATCCAAATTCAATTCCTCTTTTACTTCGTCGACAATTTCTTCTTTAATTTTCTTTTGAGTCTGATAATCGCAACCATTTTTCATATGCTGCCATTGATCTGGATAATCGTCCTCGATTTTCTTGACTACTAATAAGTTAATGCCGAGCTTCTCGTCCTTACATTCGAATTCTATTTCCAAATCGTTATTAGGTCCAGAATTTTCATCATTTTCACGAAGCCCATAAATCTGGAAATGAGATTAGTAAAAATACTTGATCAAAATATTGACTAAACAGTCCCACATCAACACTTACTAAATTTTCTCGACAAAAACTCGAGAATTCGTCATTTTTAGCATCGCATGCATTGTCAATTATCTTATAATCTTCCTTTTTAATTGGGGAAACATCATCTGGTTCCTTCTTCACTCTGCAATATTCCCAATAATATAAAGTATTATGCCATTTTTTTTAAATTTCATTCTCACGAAACAAAAATTACCTGACATCAGAGTTATATACATCACTGAAGTCCATGTTTATCACTCGGAACTTGATCAACGACTAATTGTTTTGTAATGATGTTACACATCGAGCTAGGTATCATAAGTGTAATAATATTTACAAATCGTGGAATGAAAGTTTGAGAAAATTTATGTCAACAGAGACACTCTAAACTTATCATTTATTATTGGAGAAATTATACTATTGATCTCGTAATAAACAATTAGCCATTTTCTTTGAATTGTATCTTATTACAAAGAAATTATAAATTATTGAACACTTCATGAATCGCAAAATATGAAACAAAGTTAACGTGAGCGAATGAAGGGTTTATATACATTTTTATATTACACTAACGCCAAATACGTGACTACAGTCGCATCTATATCATTTACCATTTTTACACAACGAGCGAATATTTTACATCTAAATATGCATGGTTAGTCATGTAGTCAAATATACATCTATATATATTGTCATGTGGGCACACCGGGCCAGCTTAATGCGTACATACACCTCTATATGTGTTGGCATGCCATGTGCAAATTCCTTTGGTCGCAAGGTTGTCAATAAACGCTGAGCACAAAACATCGATAAGTGAAATCTATTTCGTACGTGCGAATTACGAAAACCTGTATTCATATATACCTATACTAATGTACATGTAGGGAACATCAAACTAAAAAATACGCCCTATTTTTGTGTTCTACTTCCAATTATACCAATAATAATTTTAACGGCTTTACCAAATTAGCTGACACAAAAAACTCATTGAAACGTTGATTTATTATGATACTCATTGAAGCTACTATTATTAATTTTATATGGCTGAAACAACTATTATCATGATGTCGTGTGCTATTTCGTTATTTACCATTCAGTCGCTCAGCATTTTTCAACTGTGGTTGCCACTAGTTTATTTAAAAAAATAGTATTATTCAAATATCTTCCCTAGGGAATGACATACATTTAAATAAAGATACAATAATACCCTTTAAACCAGAAGTAAATTTTTATAATTTTAATAAAATTTTGTTTTATAAATATACAAATAACAATTTTGAAAACACGGTCGATTCTAAAATTCGAAAATCAAAATACGTAACACTTGTTCCTGAAAAGATAAATAACATTCGGTCGAAGTAACCATAACAAGAAATAAGTGAGATTATGTTCCTGCACGAGTTAATCAAGACTGCATCGTTTACAGTATTGATTGCAATGAATTTAGCGCTATTACGAGTGCAAGAAAATCCTGTGTATGTTATTATCGCTCTGTGACAAAACGTAATATGTAGGTCATCAGCCATGCACGCGCGTGTAGATACAGGCACGCGTTTGCATATTATACACACAAGCACCCGCCCGTGCTTAAACACATGATAGCGAAGAGTTGGGCATGATGGAAATTTAGCCACGCACAAAATAAGTGAAAAAATGTGATTTACTTTTGTAACAAATTTATAAGAACAAGCTTCGTCTAAAAGCACATTCCTTAGCATATTTTTAATGAATTAAGTACAGTAACAGATTTATTTCTGTGTATATCGCTGGCATGGAATGTATAATACAAAATCATCACCCTATTGTCATATGGCTTGTCTTATCGCCACCTGGCGTATTAAATTTTATTTTACGTAGTGCATTAGACTAAGAATTGTTTTAATTTTTAATTTTTAATTGTAAATTTAGGAAATTTTAAACACTAACATAGGAAAGAACACCCTCAAAAACATAAGATATAATGGCTTTCATAATTTTTTCTGTTTCGATTGAGGCATGGTATGAGCGAAAAGTTGAATATTAAAATCGTACCCTCTCAGCTTTAATGGGTTAACTTAGTTCTTTACTGAGTTTCATAAATAATATAGCTTCACAAAGTACTAAATATTATTAAATTTTGAAAATCTCTTAAAAGAGAAAAGAAAACAAAATTAACACACAAAATATACGGAAATGGAGTTCAAAAACAGCTGTATTTCCAAAAAACATCAAAATTTTAGAATTGAAAATGCAATTGAATGAAAAAAAAAATCTAATAACACAGTGAAACTCAAAAAATAAATTAAGCGAGAATAAATTTAATCGCTTAAATCTAATTGCGAGCATATTGCTTTATATAAAAAGCTTCAGTAGATGATACTTTACTCGTATATATGCTCAGTTGTTTCACATAGTTATTGTTTTGTAATTGAACTTTGATGAATTTCTCTGCGTAAAATTAGAGAAAAATTTCACGAAATGCCGGAAAGCTTCGTGCTCGCATGCACGTGCTATGGTTGCACAGAATCTCCTCCACAGCTTTTAGTATTAAGTATACATGAGCCCAAATATGTAATCTACTTAAGGCTATAATATAAAAAGCATCATTCTTTACAAGAACATTGTAGTTTTGTAGGTAGTTTTTGTGGGAATTTTCACAGCTGCGCGCTCAAGATCAACATTAAAATAATGACAATTTAACCGTTTCAAAAAATTGATACTAGTTTTCAACCACTAATTACAATAATACTACTTTAAGTCTCCACCGCCTCCAAAATCTGCCACTAGATGGCAAGTAGGTTTAAATCTGTAGATCTGCAAGTGGTGACATCATAATAATTGTATAAGTCGAAGTGGGAAGTGTTTTCAAATGTTCTTTTTTCTCTCTGTTTCAATTCAATTAAATTTTAAAATTATTCTTCTTCCGCGCCAAAATCGATATTCGATAACCAGCGTACTGTAGTGCACGAAATCGGTGTTGAGAAAATCTCAAGCAATCATACAGACTTCATATGGTATTACAGCTCGCGATTTCGGCATTATCAACGCGCGCTGACCAAATACATAATCGTGCGAACCCCTCGGCACACCGTTCATTACACTTGGCGCGCTCGATTCTATATACGTATATGTACGTATACTGTTAAATCTGATCGATCGGAGCGTTAAGAAAGCTATATATACGCTTGTACATAGTGTACATGTGTGCTAATCTTGCTTCGAGCCCCCGATGTGTACTGTGTGTGTGTGTACGTACACGGCGGGGAAAAGGCTGGGCTGCAGGAAAACAGTCTCGGCGCTCGCAGTGTGCCGAGAGCTGAATGAAGAAAAAAAAAGAGAGAGAAAAAAATTGACAGTTTGCTCTGGCGATGCCCCTTTCACTGTATCTATTCTCGCGCATTGGCGCGCCCATATGTAGCGACCTGCTCCGAGCTCTTGTTTTAGTGTGTGCACGTGTATGTATGGTATAGTTGTCCGACTGTATGTACACGTCGCACACATACAGACACGTGTTATTGCCATTTGTTGCTCGACACTATTACGTCGAATATATAGCCGACGAATGCCGATATATGTGTTTATCGCGTAATGTCGTGTTACTCACTTTTCTTTTTTAATGCAGTTCACCTCAGTTGAAATGGGTTTGGAGCTATAGGCAGTAGCTCGCGCCCGCGGATCACGTATAGAAAACGACACTTTCGCACGATACCTTGGCGGTCATTAGTAGAACACGAGAACTGCACTTTAAATACCTCTAATCGGTGAGTTTTGCGCGAGGGGGGGGGGGATATTTGGAAAAATGCAAATTTCGTACCGAACGAAGTATACGATTGGCGTTTAGTCTTACCGGTATGAACCAGATTCGCGTCGAAGCCGATAATTTTGCCAAGAAGTACAAAGAATCATTTCTATCAAACGCACCTTGTACACATACCGTGACTAATTTTCCATCATCGTCCCAGCAAATTAAATTCAACGCGATCGTGAGAATGTATTCTGTATGTAACTTCGCTATATTTCTGTTTACATTTTTTGGAAAATCATAATTGCACAACATCTATAAACTCGGGTTCTCATTGTTCATTTCGCACCTTATCGCATCGCGCGCCACGTTGCCCAACAGGTGTGATTATACGGACGAATTGGCTATTTTCGTGGCTATCTTGAAATTATAACGAATGAGCAATCGAAAATCGAACGCCTATTGCACTTATACGTTTATTTCGCAAATAATTAGTAATACCGAGCCCGAGTGTATGTGTGTATGTCCGCTACATAAAACTTGATTTATATTGCAAGAGAGAGAGAGAGAGAGAGTTAAAATTACTTATATCTTAGGAGTCACTTTCGCCGGGGTATCTCCGAATACTCGTGCTTAATTTTTCAAATCTTTTATTTTTTACTTCTCCTTCGAAGGAAAACTCAATTTTATCTTCGTAAAACGCGCTCGCGCGCGTGTGTGTACTAGCCAGTGAAAATTCACATTCTCTGTCACGTACAAATACAAATACAAATAAACACAGGGCGTGTAGCTAAGTAATCCAGTTGCTCTACTTTTCCGTATTTTCACTCCGAGAGCCTAGCGTCGGTATTTAACTTTGCCTCGGCGAGACAGCTGTTTCTTGCAATCTCAGGGAATTTCAGCAACTTGACACGGTATATATACGTAGTACCGCGTGACGATGCAAAGGAATTTTGATACAGAGATAAGGAAAAAAATTAAGATGACGTTCTGTTATGCCGGATAGAAATGCTTAACGTTTTATGGACAATTTTTGGAGAACGAAGAAGGTTTTTTCGAACTGAAAGGGTCATTAGAATCGGTTAGGTCATATATGAACAAAGTATATAACGTTTTTCCATTATTTCATAACAATTTAATAACAATTTTTTTTATAATTTAAAATTCGTACAAATTACCATTTATATACACTCGCACTAGTTGTTTTAGTCATTTCAAATATGAAATATAAATTGAATTTAAGTTGCTATAAACTGTGAACAAAGTTGTAAATTGTCGAGTGAGAAATTAAAAAGGCGAAAAGTCGTTGGTAAAAAACATTATTTATTGGATCAAACAAGAACAAATATCATGTGTTTGCTCGTCGAAGGTAATCTGAAGAATCCACTTAAAACTAGAAAAAACCAGATAAAAGACAAAACAATCGGTTGCTTAGTCACCTGCATTTGAAGATGCTCCCGTAGCCTATCGAAATACAAACGTCTCTGTAGCCAATCGAGCGAAATTTTTCATAATACAAATCACCCCGCGTGTTCCTTTTGACGCATCAGCGTCGAACACCAGCGCTCACCGACATCGCTCACGACTCGGCAGCGCGGCTGACGAGAAACGTAAAAATCAAATGAATTGACAATCGGGAACAGAAGTTTTAATGATTTTTTTAAAATTGTGCTTTGATTTATACAGTTATTTCAACTTAACCACTTGCAGATTTACAGATTAAAAGGTGCTTGTCATCTAGTGGCTTAAAGTGGTATTGTCTTGTTGAAAGTAATTAAAACCCAATTTGAATATTTTGAAACAACTAAGACATAATAAAAATATATCAATCAATGGGCGTGTATCTTGAAGCACTGGACATCTATTTACTTTTCAGAGAAAAAGAAAGAAAGAAAGAAAGAAAAAATAAGATTTACCTAACTAATAGCTCTTCTCTCCTTTCATTTGTTCAAAGGATGTCAATTCTATCCCGCCGGAGAGTATCTCAAGTTCGTCAGGGTAGCGGAGAACGTGCGAATAGGATCGGACATCGTGACCCTGGAAGTCCATCCGAGGAGTCACCTTGCGATCATGGCCGTCGACAAAGTAAGGGCAATTTAAAAATTACTAGTCGCGCGCGTACACACTTTGTGAGCATGTGTGTCACTTTGTCTAATTAACAACAACAACAACAACAACAATGACTCGAAAAAAAAAAAATGCATACAGGAAGAAGACTCGAGATACTTCGGCTGGCGAGAAGTGAACAAGACGCACGTATCGATCGTGCTGGCGAAATCGCTCGAGGACGTCGTGGATGCCGATGCCCCGCGAAATCTCCTCAAGTTTCGTCTGGCCTGCGATCACGCGGACGGTGCCAACTCTCTGGTAAAGTATTTTCCCTACCCAAAATTATATATATATATAATACACATCGCAGCGCAGATGCTCTGTGTAACAGCAGCAGTAGTAGTAGAGTCGCTTTTCCGATTCTCCGCCGTCGTCGCGTCGTTCAGCCGGAGGCTGCAGCATAAAAGCGACTCCCGTGAAACTCAAACTCAAAACTAATAACGTGGCCTCGCGCAGCAGCGGCCCTTTTTCGATAATAATATAACGGCGAGGCTAAAGCGCAGATACTATATAGCTCAGGCTCCCTATTATATATATCTATATACGTATTGCGTCGCAGACACGAAGCTCGTGCAACGCTACTGCCACTGCCACTGTCGCTGCGGTTCATTAATTAAATCCTCGAAGCTTTCTAGCGTGTAACGAGCGCGGGAGGACGTGCCCTTGCCGCGTCCACTGATTTTCAGCCCCGGCTTTATATTATAAGGCTTATTTATTGTATTACTTTCTCTCTGTGTGCACGGCTCAAAGTGCACACGCTGTGCCGTGTGCGTGCGGTACGTTGGTATGGTCCTTCCTTTTTATTTTATCGCGATTGATACGGCAGATAAAACTAGTCAAAGTTCATTGAATTCATTAGCGTTACGTCCTCTTCGTTGTCGTTGCACAACTGAACGATGTAACTCGATCATTCGAATTTGTTTTCCAATTTACTGTGCTCGCGCGATCGCGAGAGCAAAACTTTACTCGACTTTGTCCGCGCTCGATGCGTCTATATATCAAACGCGTAAAAGTAACACAAAAGAAACCGAAAAACTTTTGTATTCAGATCAATTGATTCTCGATGCCGAGGCTTGAATAAAAAAAAAAAAAAAATATAATAAGATAAGAAAATAATAGAGGTAATAAAGTCGTAGAAAAGCCAAGATAGAGCGAGAGCTGCTGCTGCTGCTGCTGCTGAAAGAGAAATTTTCGTCGGGGGATATAAGCGGCGCATTACAGTAAAAAAGAGCGAAAAGTGAGATAAGACGAGCCGAGCGAGGATAGCGCGAGAAAAAAAACGCACTTATCCGAGATAAAATAGAGCTCTTTAAAACTACAGCTTCGACCGCGGAGAAAGGAGGATGGGCGCGGACAAAGGGGTAAACTTCGTACTGGAGAAGGGGGAGGCAAAAAAATTCACTAAAAAACTTTTGCACTCGCGGAAAATAAATACACGCGCGCGCGCCAGAAGTTTTCTTTGCGAATCAATTGTCCGAATGAGTAAATAAATTTGCTACCAACCTTACTTTCCTCTGTACTTTCAACCGTTCTTCTTTTTTTTTCCACACGCACACATGTATCACAGGTCTCGTCGCACTTGTCCGTGACGGTCTACGTCGAGGATGTGAACGATCACGCTCCGCAATTTGTCGACGCTCCTTATCACGTCACCGTGGATGAACTCTCACCTGCAGGTATGTGCGCGCTCCGCCGCCATTCATTTTCTTGATCGTCTATATATAGCGAGTCGAGCTTAATCCCACCCGAGCTCAAGGCTCGAACTTGACTCGAGATATATATCCGCGGTGCTATATATAATAGCGATTAATTTGAGTTAGCTCTTCGAGCTGAGACTCGATTGAAAATTCCCGCGTGCGACAAATTGTTTTTTTTTTTTTTTTTTTTACTTCGATTACAATTAAAAATCTGCACAATTTTCTATCCGTAAAATAGGTCTCACGATATTTCGCGGGATTCACGCGTTCGACAAGGACAAGCCCGGCACGCCCAACAGCGACGTGCACTACGCCATAATCAAGGGCAACGAGGACGGGAAATTCGCCCTGGAATCGGGCCACAGAACTGCACTGGTGCTGAAAAAGCCCGTGGATTACGACGCGGGCGATCGAGAGTACAACTTGCTCATCAGTGCAAATGTAATTTTTATAAAAAAAAAAAAAATAGTATCATAAATAGTAGTACTATATAAATGCTCTGTGATGGTTTTCAGGATCGAGGAAGTCCAGCCAAAAGCTCGAACACAACGATCACGATAACGGTCGTCGATAACGATGATTTGGATCCCAAATTCACCCAAGACATATATCGCACGCAAATTTACGAGTTCTATCCAGTACCCGTGAGTATACAGTCTCGATTTTTTCATAAAATTTTCATATAACAAAAAATTTTGTATCTCACCCGCGCCCCACGCAGAGCCGCTCGATCCACAAGGAAGTGGACTTCGCCACGCCGATTCGCGCCATCGACCAGGACCGCGAGATCGACGTGCCGATGCGCTACGATATCATATCGGGCAACGACGCGGGCACCTTTCACCTGGACCCGCGCAACGGCTCGCTGTTCCTGGAGCGCGCCATCGACCTCGACGCCGAGCGCAATCTGCCGGCCAACACGTTCGTGCTGCAGATACGCGCCGTGCAGATCGACAATCCGGCCAAGCTCGCGTTCGCCCGGGTCGAGGTGGAGCTGCTCGATCTCAACGACAATCTGCCCGAGTTCGAGGTCGACTTCTACAACATCTCGATCGTCGAGAATCTGCCCAACGGCTTCAGCGTGCTGCAGGTCGTGGCCTACGATCGCGACCAGGGCGAGAACGGCGAGTTCGCGTATGAGCTGCGCGACCCCGCGGGCGCCTTCGCCGTCGATCCGCGCACGGGCTGGCTGACCGTGCAGGACCAGAGCGTGCTCGATCGCGAGAAGAAGTCGTTTCTGCAGATGAAGGTGCTGGCGGTGGAGAGGAGGCCGAGCGTGGTCAAGCGCTCCAACGGCTCGTCCTCGGTCAACGTCGAGGTGACCCTGCTCGACGCCAACGACAACAATCCCGTCTTCGTGCCCAACAACCTGATGGAGATCGTGGCCAGGAGCGACTTCAAAGTCGGCACCATCGTTGGCCAGGTGAGCGCTCAGTAATCCGTACCTTGAATATTTACGCAAGATCTCATCTAGGAATAACAGTAAATGTCTCGCAAGTGTAGTTTAAAGTTTAACTTCGTTCATATTTCGTAGTGATTTTATTGATGCAACAGTTATGCACATATATTCGAAATGAACTGAGCCTACAGCCTTAAACTAATTAATATACCAATTTCAAATATCCATGATCAATGAAATACTTAGATCAAGACAAATGTGCCAATTGTTAACCACTGTCCAATTCTAGACTAGAATATAATAAATCGATGATTGCGCTTGAAAAAATATTCTATACGCTCATAAATCTCAATTAATTTAAAATTTGAGCATCAATAAGTATCTAGATCATTTTTTTATTCAACTATTTAACAAAAAGATTACTAAAAATATGTTTTAAATTCGTGCTATAGCGCGATGCACGTTTATTTATGCAAAATGTAAGTACCATAGCACTTTAATACCATTCACCTTCTATGATAGATTATACAAAAGTTTATTTTTAATTTTCTGATTTCATTAGTTTCATGTTTAAAAATGTTCAGTTCAGAGAAAAAATTATTTTTTAATTGTATAAGTCATCTGTGAGTATTATTAATCCTGTATTTACTATTTTATAAAAGAATTTCGCAGCAAAATGTCGATTTCACTGATGAACATTACAAAATGCTTTATTATTTATGTGGATTCCTCGAAGGAATCGTTGCCGAGTAATGATTTTTAATTGTTTTAAATATTGTAAGTAGAAATAGATGAATCGGTAACTTCATTGTAATCAATATGATCAGAAACAATTTTGACATCGTCCTTCGAAACATTAATCATGTTTATAATTAAAACTACTAGTTAAAACTACTTAGTTTAAATGTTGTCTTTCTCAACGAAGCAAGCAATTATACCAACAGAATACATTTTACTCATTTAATTTTCGTGGCACTGAAAATAAGGATTCAACGTTTAATTTAGGCACCAGCATGGATAAAAATAATAAAGAGTCCGAAGTTGATGCCTCGGAAAATAATTCAAGTGAACAAGACGTTGTTGTTTCAGACGACAAAAAGTACGTTAGTGATATTTATCAAGAGACATTTACACTAGAATCAAGCATGATAGCACACCGCGACACAATTCAAAATGAACGAAAAGATTATTCATGCGACAAGTGCGAAAAGAAATTTGGGTTTCGAAGTCATTTGAGTAGACATCAAATATTAGTACACAAGGGTCGCCAAGATTTTGCATGCGACAAGTGCGAGAAAAAATTTGTGAAAAAATTAAGTTTATTGACGCACAAAAAATTAGTACATAAAGATCGTGAAAATTTAATGTGCAACAAGTGCGAAAAGAAATTTGAAAATAAATCAACTTTACTCAAGCACAACAAAATATTTCACGAAGTTTTCAAAGATTACTTATGTGAAAAGTGTGCAAAGAGATTTGGAAATAAACGGAGTTTGCTCTTGCATATAAAGCAGGTACACGATGATCACAAAGATTTCGCATGCGACAAATCCGGGGAGAAAATTAGGCACAAAAGAAATTTACTAGTTCACCTGAAGACAGTACACGATAATCGGAAAGAATTCGCCTTCAATGTCTTTAAAGATTACTCATTTGACGATTGCGAAAACAAATTTAGAAATAAATCGAGTTTGCTCTCGCCCATAAAGACAGTGCAGAAAGGTCGCAAAGATTTCGCATGCGATGAATGTGAGAAGAAATTTACACGTAAATCGCATTTGCTCTCACACCAAATGGCAATGCATGAGGGTTGTAAAGATTACGCTTGTGACAACTGCGAAAAAAAATTTGGGCGAAAAGAGTATTTACTTTTGCACCAGAGGGCCATACACGACGGCCGCAAAGATTACGCATGCGATAATTGTGTGAAGAAATTTGGGGACTCAAGAAATTTGAAAAGACATCAAAAAACAGTTCACGAAGGTCGAAAAAATTTCGCATGTGACAAATGCAAAAAGAAATTTGGATATAAATGGCTTCTGCTCTCCCACCAAAAAACAGTTCACGAGGGTCGTAAAGATTACGCATGTGATAAATGCGAAAAGAAATTTGGGGATCAAAGCAATTTGATCAAACACCAAAAGACAGTCCATGATGGTCGTAAAGATCACGTATGTGACAAGTGCGAGAAAAAATTCGGACATAAATGTCATTTGCTCCTACACATGAGAAAATTCCACGAAAATTTAAAAGATTACGCATGCGACAAATGCGAGAAAAAATTTGGCAGTAGAAGAGAATTGATCAGGCACCAAAGAACAGTTCACGACGGTCGCAGAGATTTTGCGTGCGACAATTGTGAGAAGAAATTTGGACATAAACAGAATTTGCTTTTACACCAAAAAGTAGTCCATGAAAATCGCAAAGATTACGCGTGTGACAAATGCCAGAAGAAATTTGGACGAAAACATCATTTGCTCCTACACCAAAGAACATATCACGAAGGTGGAAAAGATTTCGCACGTGACAAGGGTGAGAAGAAATTTACACGGTAACCGGATTTGATTTTCCACCAAAAAACTATCCACGAAAGTCGCAAAGATTATGCATGTAATATTTGCGAGAAAAAATTTGCGCACAAATCAAGTTTGATCTACCACCAAAATGCAGTATATGATGGTCACAAAGATTACCCATGTAACAAATGCGAGAAGAAATTTGAACATGAATGTCTTTTGCTCTCCCACCAAAAGTCAGTACATGAAGGCCAAAAAGATTTTGCGTGCGACAAGTGTAAAAAAACATTTGGACATGGAAGATATTTGCTCGTGCACACAAGAACAGTCCATGAAAGGCACCAAGATTATGCGTGTGACAAATGCCAGAAGAAATTTGGGAATCCACCAAATTTAATAAAACATCAAAAAACAATCCACGAAGGTCGCAAAGATTGTGGATGCGACGAATGCGAGTAGAAATTTGGACAAAAGCCGCAATTGCTAAGACACAAAAGTAAAATGCACGAAGGTCGCAAAGATTACGCATGCTACAATTTCGAGAAGTAATGATGATTGACAATTTTAAATATGTATTGGTTATACTTGTACAAATGTTTTTTTCTAAATTTCAATAAAAATTGTGTCGAAACAATTGTGTCTACCTAAACCTCGAGCGTGCAACTGTCATTACACCTTTGTACACTGTCATTGTAGTGTGGTGAAAAAACATCAGCACAGATTTTTTTCCACTTCTTGTTCTGAACAGTGAATGGGGCGATCATTCAATTGGCTACTCAGTTTTTGATAAACCGCGAGTAATAATATCGCGTCTCTGAATTTATCAAAAATGTCATAGACTGATTAATCGCAATTATAAGATAGACGCGATCGGTATTAACAATGAGCTTTTACCGAAAAAGCGACGGAAAAGCCATTAAAATTAAATTGAAATCAACTATGTTTTCTTCATTTTTTTAAATTAGTAAAAGGTTGCATAATCGTTTCATCATTTTCTTTGTACTTTTGTCAATTTAAATTATTCAAAAATGCGTGAGCAAAAAGTTCAAACCCCTACTATGAATTATACAAATATTTTTACTTTACCACTTGCAGATTTACACATGAATGTACTCGCCATCTAGTGATGAAGGCCTCGAGTAGTATTTTCGCATTTTATAAAGTGGTTGAAAACTAGTCTAAATTAAAAAAAAAAGAAATATCGGTTTTAGATCATATAAAATCCGCTTACCCGTTAGCGCCCAGACGGACACTTTTTTTAACTGAACTTCAGGCAAATATCTTTAACATTCCGAATTTTACTAAAAATTAATAAGTGCATGTTTCTAACGGAAAATTTAATGCCCTTTTCGAATATGGCTTCAAAATTAATCTTAAAATTCTTGTTCAAAAGCTATAAACAATTAAACAAAAAAAAAACACGACCGGTGTCCATGGGATGTAAACTGAAAAGCCCAATATCCATAATATCGAAATTGAACATTTTTCACTACAAAATGGCGCTTCGTAGAAAAAAGACCGTATATGAGCTAAACCAATTTTTTTACATGACAAGGATGCATCTAGGAAAAAAAAGTTATATAGAAAAAGTTCTTAGAATTGTTCAAAGAACAACCCTGAATTTTTTCAGAATTTTTCGAGAAAATTTTTGAATTTTCGGAAAATGATGAAACTCAAAAATCCAAAATTATTCGAAAAATTCTGAAAAAGTTCTAGAGTGTTCTTTAAACAATTTCAAGAACTTTTTCATTTGTAACTTTTTTCCCCTAGATGTATCCTTGTCATGGAAAAAATTAGTTAAACTAAAAGCAAGAAAAAGTTTAACTAATTTTTTTAAGGAAAAAAGTTACAAATGAAAAAGTTCTTGAAATTGTTTAAAGAACACTCNTTTTTATTCATTGGGTCTTTATTAATATTGATCACTTCAACTAGGGTCCAATGTGTTGATAATGTATCACGCGAACCGTTTTATCTGATAAAATTATATTAACATCTTTTTTTTGATCCTACAATTCCTTCGTAAACTACTCGAACGCACTAATCGTTTCACGTCGATACACAGGTACACGCCGTGGACAAAGATCTCGGCTCTAACGGATTGGTGCGCTACAAGCTTCAGCGGCCCGGCAACGTCACCGGCAAAATACCCTTCGACGTCAACGCCGACACGGGCGTCATATCCGTGGCGGAGAGTCCGATACAGGAGGGACGCCACGCCATCTTCATCGAGGCGGCGGATCAGCCCTCGAATCCGAGCGAGCGTCGCTTCTCCCTGGCCGTGGTGACGATCGATGTTTTCCGGCCTGACAGTAAGTGCGCGATATTCCGATCGATGCAAATGTTTATCTTGAACGAGCCGAAACCTTCGCACTGTGCATCGTATAAATCATCAATTAGTTTGTCACGAAAGCGCGACTGCCGAAAATTAATTTTCGCATATTCGAAATAGCTCTTGTGCACTGTGCATTTGATTTATGTAGTACTCCCAATTGGCCTAATTAATCAAAAATACTTGAACGCTCCTCTCACTATATACTTTTTGCCCATTACGTAATTTAAGGCCAGGGTTCGAGGACTCCGGACTTCGTTGGAGCACCGTACGAGTTCTGGGTAGGTGCCAACGTACCCGTCGGCACGAGCGTCGGCCAGATCCGAGTCAACGAGGCCGTCAAGGGCAAAGACGTGGTCTACGACCTTCTGCACAGCTATCACGAAGGAGGTAGATGATCAAAAAAAAATTATTAGATTTTACGTATACTTCTATATATTACGCACGCGCTTCGATATATATTTATTCTTTTGTGCGTCCGCCACAAAAAGTGCCTTTCGCGGTGGAGGAAAGATCGGGCACGATCACGGTGGTCGACGAGATCGAGCAGTTCAAGCGGTCGACTTACGACTTCGAGGCCGTCGTGACGAACGAGAGGAACCTCAGCCTCGTGACCAACGTCTCGATACACGTGGTCGATCCCAACGACGACAGCGGCCTTTTCACCAAGTAAGTTGTGTATACATATAGAAACGACAATTACTCGCTTACAGTAATGATAGATATTGCACACGACTGTGTATGTACGATGTCGTGCATTCGATAGACAATGCAATATTTTATAATCTCTCGTTCCACTTGCGATAATCGTGTACAATTAATTTTCGATCGTGCTCGAGAGAGGCGTTATCCTCTCGTTGCGACAAATTTTTAGCGGGCGCATTTGCAACGATTTATGCGTTTGCAGTAATGCGCGCGAGAATAATTGAAAAATAATTGATAGTTGAGAGAATTTTTATGTACTAGAAAATCATTGTGACACAGTTCGATCCGGATTATTTGTATACAAAACGTCGAATTTCACAGATGAAAATCTTAGCGTCGTGACACGTCGAGGCGCGAGAAAATTAATAATAGATCGGCTCGATTGCTCGATTTGTAAACAAAACAAGGAAACTCGGGGGGACATTGCGTCACGTCGACAACGCGTGTCGAGTTCAGTTAGCTGCCGACAGCCGCCGAAATCGAACGACAAACGAGCGTGCGTAGCTCCGTTGGTTATTACACGCAAGGAATTTTCACCGACAAAAAGCGAAGAAATTTTCAATCGCACCAGCTCGAAAGATGGAATCCAACGGAGAATCGAGTCCAAATTCACCGGGGCGCGAGGCACGGCGAGCCAAGTGGCAGGGGATCTATCCAGGCCCCGTACTATCACGTCCCGCGTCGGCCGAGCCGAGTCCGGCGAACCAGCTCGGTATGGCGGAACGGCCGCAGATCAATCCAGTTCCCATGCAACGTGGCTCGTCGGCCGAGGCGCTCCCGTATCACGATCGGTACCTCCATGATCCACCCGTCCAACAACAACAACAACAACAAGCACAACAACAACGACAACAACAACAACAACAACAACGACAACAACAAGCACAACAACAACAACAACAACAAGCACAACAACAACAACAACTACTAATGGAACAACAACAACGACAACAAGAACTACTACGACAAATACCACAACGACTACTAGAAGAACTACAACAACAACAAGAACAACAACTACAACAACTAGTACAACAACTACAACAACAACTACAACAACAACAACTACAACAAGCACAACAACTACAACAACAACAACAACAACAACAACAACAACAACAACAACAACTACTGCAACCACAACAACAACGACAACAAGAACAACTACCACAAGAAATACAACAACAACATCAACTACTACGACAAACATTGGATGAAGTGTCGAGGGAGCTAATGGTCGTCCAGATACTGCGAAGCCGGAACTTGCGCTTCTCGGGCGACGGTGAGAGCGAGTACAACGCCCGGGAGTTCCTTCGGGGAGTGCGGGAATTTATCCACCATCTCGTCGAACGTCAACTGGTCATTCCCGACGGCGGCTTGTTGCGCGCGCTGACGATATGCTTCTCAGGCTCGGCATTCGATTGGTACTCGAACGGGGCCTTTGAGTCTATGGACCAATTTTTCGCGGAATTTGGTCAGCAATTTATTCAGCGGCAGCAGCAGCAGCAGCAGCAGCAGCAACAGCAGCAGCAGCAGCAACAGCAGCAGCAGCAGCAGCAACAGCAACAGCTGCAACAGCCCGCCAGAGCCGCCGTAGTCGAGCAGCCCGCCGAATTCGTCGTGAACCAGCCGCCCTCTGACATTCCGCGCGGTTCGTATCCGATGCCGCTTCCGCGGCAAGTGCTAGAGCGCAAGCAGAAACCGGACGAGTCCGTGTCGGCCTACGTGGCAGAGGTGAGACGCCTCGTCACGACACACCGCCAGTACCGTTGGCACCCCGAGGACAACCTGCTGACGGTCGTGTACAACAATCTGCTGAACGATTATAGCATCTGGATGAGGCCTTACGTCGACCAAATCACTAGCCTGGAGAGATTGGAACAATTGGGCCTCTCATACGAAGCAGACAGGAGAAATAACAAGGAACAGTGGAGAATATTGGAACAACATTGTCGTGGCTTCGTTGCCAATCGATCAAGGCCGAGGAATTGCTCTCATTGCGGCGCTCAAGGACACACGACGGAGACATGCCCGTTGAAGGAAAAGACCCCTCATGAGATGTGTGAGGCCCTTGACGAATGAAAAAATAATTTTTAAGCGAGCTCGACGTGATTGTTTTTGCACGTCGTGGAACTTTGTAACGTGATAGCAACGTAAAGACACGAATATAAAGTCAACTCTGTTCTAATTTTACATACTAAATGAAACTAAACGATAAAATGTATATAAATTCTTATAGCTGTAAGTATGTACACTCAAGTTTTCTGAATTAAAAAGACGATTGATTTACTGAAATTCCCATAGTCAAAGTTATTTCCGTAGTTTCGACGAGTCACTAGCCAAAATCAACCCCCTCACGTTTGTTAATTAAATTTTTCCAGAGGAACGACCAAGGCCCCGCTGACGTTTCACGTGCGCGAGAACGCCGCGGGCGCCTTCATCGGCCAAGTGGTGCCGGTCAACGCGAGCAGCAGCGTCCTCAAGAACGTGCGATTTCTCATCGCCAATCAGCAGGACATGTCGGAGATCGCCATCACCGAGACCGGAGCCCTGTACACGCCCACGGGCCTCGATCGGGAGAAGCGTAAAAATTACAGCATCACGGCGATAGCCGAGAGCCCGCGCGGCATCGGCATTTTTCAAGTGAGTCGATGCCGCTGCTACCGCTGCCGCCTTTTTACCCCATACGTTGGCTATATTAAAAAACAAAAATTCTTCTTCAGGTGATGATAATCGTGGACGACGAGGACGACAACGCGCCGATATTCTCCTCGGCATCGTACGAGGGCAGGATCGCGGAGAACAGCCCTCGCGACACCGAGGTGACGATGCAGGGTAGCCACGTCGCGGCCCGAGACCCGGACGAGGACTCGAGCGTGCTGTTCGCTCTGCGCGGCGATGGCAGCAACTTATTCCGAATCGACCAGATCACCGGACGGATATTCTTCGCCGGTAACGCCTCGCAGACGCTCGACCGCGAGGAAAAAGCCCTGTATCGACTGTGGATCGTCGCCGGCTACGGAAGTACGTTATTCTTTTTATCCTATCTCTTACTTACCGAAACTTGAAAAAAAAATTATAATTATTGCTCTCAGAGAAAAAGTCTTCGAACGCGTCGCTGACGATTCACGTGGACGACGAGAACGACAACTCGCCGAGCTTCGTGCAGATGGTGATACTGCCCGACCAAGGGATACGCGTGTCGAAGAACGACCTCTCGGGCACGGATCTCTCGCCGAAGAGGCTCAACGGCAGCGGCGTCGGTAAAGTCGACGAGCGCTCGCCGCTGCTCTACGTGCCGGAGAACGTGACCGTGGGCGCGCCCATCATCAGGCTGATAGCTCGCGATCTCGACGCGGCCGGCAACGCCGAGATAACCTACGGCATCCTGTCCGAGGTGCTGTCGTCGTCCTCCTCCAAGTCGATGAGCGACGGCAAAGTCCCGGTCAAGCGTTACTTCGTCATGGACTCGCGTTCCGGCGAGATATCCGTGGCCGGCGCGCTGCCCGCAGAGACCGACGCCGTGCTCGAGATCGTGGCCAGGGACGGAGGCGGCCTGCTCGACCGCGTCGTCGTCAAGATCCACGTGTTCGACGTGAACGATCACGCGCCCGTCTTCAAGCAGTCCTGGTACACGTTCGACGTGCCCGAGGGCACCTACAAGAGGCTGGAGATCGGCAGGATCGAGGCGGCCGACGCCGATCACGGGGCCAACGCCAATCTCACCTACGAGCTGCTGTCCACCGGCGACGATAGAAACGTCAAATTCGAGATATCCAGGTAGGATATCTTTTCGAGCGATTATATATAGCTTCTTGAAATTCGCGAAAGATAAAATTTTGACTCTCTCTCGCTCGCGCACCCCTAACCAGGTACCACGGGGGTTTCTTCGTGACCGGCATACTGGACCGTGAAGTGCGCGATCTGTACAACCTCAAAGTCCTCGTGAGGGACAACGGTACGGTGAGTCTTTCGGCCAGCGCCGACCTGGAGATCCACGTGCAGGACGTCAACGACAACGCCCCGCAGTTCCACGGCTACCAGGAGACGAGCAAGATGTCGAATTTCCTCAAGGCGGACGTGGCTGCGTCGTCATCGTCGTCGAGGTCGACGACGAAGCGCGTGCCGATCTATTACGCCTCGGTGCCGGAGAACAGCCAGGCCGGCACCGTGGTCACCAAGGTCCACGCTAACGACTCGGATTACGCCGGCAACGGCAACGGCCTCATACTCTACGACATGCCGTACGCCCGGGGACAGGCGCAGCACTTCGCCATCGACAACAAGGAGGGACTGATCACGACGATCGGCAGCTTGGATTACGAGACGCAGGTAATTGTGCGGCCGTTTGACAAGACAGATTTAGTCTAAAATTTGAACTTATTGTGGAAGTAATCGATGTCTATTCGAGATACTTTTGATTGAAGTACTCGTCGATGTAGGGTGAGCACCGATTGAACGAAATAAATTCAATTGGATACTAAAATCTAAATATTTCGAATGACAATTAATGATACCGTGCTGATTGAGTTTTTGCGTTGATTGATTGAAAAATAAGATAGGAAATGAAAAATTAAAACCAGCCTTTACCGGTAGATGGCGAGTATATTTATCTGTAAATCCGCAAGTGATAAAGTCGAAATAATTGTATAAGATCAGCACACGGGTGTGTGTATGGCAAAGTTTCTGACTGTATAATTCGCTTAATATCTAAAACCAGTCATTTACAATATTTTCCTCTGAATTTCAATGAAAATTGTAAAGAAAAAATTCCACCGAACAAAGACTTTTCATTCGAAAAATTCAAAATCAAAAATATCTACTTGCATTAAATTTAATGTAATTATTTTCAATTACGATGGAACTTATTTTTAATTTAAAAAAAAAATTACACACCGTCATTGCATCGTCGATCGTTGTTGCCCCCTTTCGGCAGAGCGTGCACAATTTGACGATAGTCGCGAGCGATCTGGGCTCGCCCAGTCTCACGTCGACCGCCATGCTGATCGTGCGTATCCTCGACGTGGACGAGGGCCCGGAGGATCCCAAGAGGCCCGCCTTCCAGCATCGCTACTACGAGGTGGAGGTCGAGGAGAACACGGCGGTGCCGCTGCGACTGCTCGATCTGCGCACGGTGGCTGCCGGTGACGATCAGCAGAAACAGGGAGCTAGTGGCGGTCACTTTCGTTACAGCATCGTCGCGGACCAGGCCGGCGACGTCAAGCAGCACTTCTCCCTGGACCCGGTGAACGGCTCGCTGTATCTGCTCACGAGTCCCGATCGGGAGCAGCGCGGCCACTACGAGCTCAAGGTGCGAGTGGACAAGATCAAGATCGGCCGCGGCATGCCGATCATGATCTATCCGGTGGAGGGCGAGCGACTCAACGGTCTCGGGCCCAACGAGGCGCGCATCGTCCTCAAGGTCAAGGACGTCAACGACAACGTGCCGAAATTCAAGACCAACGGCAGGCCTATCCTGGCCGCCATCTCCACCACGGCGCACTACGGCTACAACATCATCAAGGTCGAGGTAAGGATCGTAATATACAATATCGGATTACGAGAAAAATAGACGTACACGTCTCTCGTCGTCGATAAATCGATGAGAGAAGAGTTTGCTGGCAATCTTATATATATTACGTTCTCATATACACAGGCGGAGGACCCGGACGAGGGTATAAACGGCCAAGTGCGCTACCAGATCCTGGGCGGACGGGCTGGCGGCGGCGAGGACTCGCCGAAATTCGCCATTGACCCAGTGAGTGGTCAAGTGCAGACGGCCGCGAGCTTCGCCAAAGACGCTGGCCGCGTGTACGGCTTCGATGTCAAGGCCACCGACAGGGCCGGCGCCGAAGACGGCCGCAGCAGCATCGCCAACGTCTTTGTGAGTATATATAGCGGTGGTATTAACGCGCGCCCATCGATATACGTTGATGCGTGATGTATAGCCTATAGAGCTCTGCCAGTTGCAGGGTCGCGTTCCGATCCTTTATCTCTATATATAAAGTCAACTTTTGCACGAGAGAAATTCCTCGCGGCAGTTGCGTGGGTGGAGGGAGGCGATGGAATTTGACACGGAAAATATATCGTGGACCTTTTTTCGTTTTTGTTGTTGTTGTTAGGTTTACGTGCTGGATCACACCAAACAATTAGTCATGATAATGGGCAAGAAACCGATGGAGATCGAGAAGGAAATCAACAACATTACCAGGCGAGTACACTCGCGATGCGCTTCAATAGTGAGCGACATTTTTTGATGAATATTGATAATTGTTTTACAGTGCCTTGAAGAACATTACGGGACTGGATATTCGCGTTAGAAAAATAGAGCCGCATACCGAAAAGAATCTCATCGATATTTCATCGTAAGTTATTTCATATAAAATTCATCCTATGAGTAAAATTTGTTATTATTTTTTTTAAAAATTTTTAGGAGCGACATGTATCTGTACGCCGTCGATCCGAATCTCAACGTCATGATAGACATCGACACGCTGCAAAAGTAAGATTGGCTTCGAGCTAGCCATGCAAAATCGGGAATATTGTACGTATTTACTTTTCTCTCTTCCTTTTTCAGCGTCTTCCGCAGCAAAAAGTCGGAGATAAAGCGCGAGCTGGAGCGCTACAAGGTGCTGGACATCGCGGGCAGCAAGGCGCGCCGCGCCAGCCAGCTGCATCTGCTCTCCACCCTCGAGGTGGCCGTGGTGGTGCTCGGCTGCGTCGTCTTCGTCAGCGCCCTCGTCATCGCGCTCTGCATCACTTGCGTTAGACGCAGCAAACGGTGAGTGCGCGCGCAGAGACGAAGCGGTTGGTAATGCACACGCATTATAGCGACGATTTGGAGACGGAAAATTGCTTCGACTGCACGATTACTGTTTTTTCTCTTTTTTTCTTTTTCTTGTTCTAATGCTGCACTGCTTTGCGACATTATATCGCAAGTACGCTGTTTTTCTTTTTGTGCGAATAAAATATGATTTGTTTTCAGTTATAGGGGTACTCATAACATCAATGTCTCTCGGCAGGTTTATGACTTCTATGGAGAATCTGCTTTTCTTTGATTAACTGCCTGCCAAAACCTTCATTTATAACTACTTCTCAACTGTACTTATACGAAACGACGCTCGGGCTTTCACTAATTCACTAATTTTCATTTAACTCTTCTCTGCATCATTTTCATGTGAAATAATTTATCTTCAAACTCTCGACTTGTGTGCATGTAATATATTAATTTCTTTCGTTCGATATACTGTCTGGTTAACTAAATGTGTGCATTATCGAATCATTTAACTTATTCAATAAAATAATTTTATATTATAATGAAGATTTTTATGATAAAAGCTTTTACTACTAATTGATAGAATCATTCACAATAACAATTATATTTACATTTTGAGAAACGATGGTATAGTTCAGGAATATCCATATATAAGACTGCCTTGATTCTTAGAGATTGTATTTTTATCAATGTTCATTTTAAATATTCAAATATTACGTAGACTAATTTAGACTCTGCCCTTAAACAAAAAATCAATAAAACCTTCGTGATGAATTGAGATAAATGAAAACATCATTGAGCTCGAATTATTACTCCAAGCAGGTAAGCACAGAATAATATTTTTGCTCGCCCTAATGAAATCGTAAAGTACATTAAACGCGAGAACCACGCCTTGCACGCGGGGGTATCATGCTCGCGCTCGAAGCCGAAGAAAAAAGGGCGAAAGATTTATGAAAGGAAGAAATACGAGATCACCGGGGCAGGAATAAAAGGCGAGAGGATATTTTATTTTATCGAATTATCGACTGAGTTTGTGAAAAATCTCAGCGCGCGAAGCAACTATGTAAGACGCTATCCAAGGTATAAAAGCCTCGATTACCGGAATTTTTATTCGTTGCAACTGAAGACGTTTCACTTCAAAACAGATGGTTATGTTATGCCTCTTATAAAAAAAAAACTGAAATAAAATTAAAACACAAGAAAATTGAAATCTATGAAGTAAGTTAATGAGTTCAGTCTCGTTAATTTTGTTTATTAATAATTTCTTTAAATTAATTACAATCGTATACATTTTTTTATAAAAAAAATCTAAACTTACATTAAAATAAAAACAAATTAAACTCTATAAACGCGTTCACATGTACGTTCATCGTAATCTTTGTTTCTTAAAAATCTGCAACAATAACACGAACTTTCTCCCTTGGCCGCCAAACAAATGTGATACAAATCTTTGTTCGTGAGCGTTGAATTATCAATTATCATTTCGCAGCACTCGAACGGCAGCCTATTGCGTGTCAGCTGCATGAAATGCAACTTGGCCCAGCACCGAAAGAAGCCTCTCAGCATCTTTTCGCACAGATGCTCGTGGACGGCCTTACTGTGGTGCTCGAGTAGCCGAGACTGTTGTCTCGTGAGCGCGAAACCGAGATAGTACTCGCGCTTCATCACTCGAGCCGCCTCGTCGTTCGTCAAGTGGATGAGATCGTGGAGCGTCAGGCTCGGCGTCGTATCTGGCTTGTCGTAGCTAACCCACGCAACGTCGATCACGGGCAAAATCCTCAGCCTCTCCGTTTCTTTGGCGAAAAGCTCGTCGTCGCGATACGCGTTCACCAGATCCGCCGACGACTCCTCGAACAATTCGTACCTGTCGAACAGTTTCATGATCGCGAGGGCGTCGCTCTCGTCGAGCTCGTATCCCGCGTTCTCGAGGTGCTCGACCACGTCCATGACGTTGCACGCCAGCATCAACTTGCTATGACTGAAATTAATCCTGTCCGCGTAAAATCTCTCGCCGAAGTGAGCGGCCGAGGGGAAGACGAAGCCGGACAAATCGGCGCCGCGATCCAACAGCATCTTGACGTGCATCGGCAAGAAATTAGAGACCGCCAATCGCAGCGGTGTGTAGCCGAGCTTGTCCACGACGTCGATCCGCACCTGCTTCTGGACCTCGTCGCAGATCTTCAAAAACTTCTCCGCCAAGTCGTTGTCCCGCCTGCAAACGATGTGCAGAGGAGTCCATCCGATCGTGTTGGTCAGGTTCGGATCGGCGCCTCTTCTCAGCAGCAATTCGGCTATCTTCTCGCTGCCGCGAAACAGAGCCGCGTGCAGCGGCGAATCGTTCGTGACTGGATGGAGGCCGTTCGGATTCTCCAGGAGGTCGAGATGATACTCGGCACCTTCGTAATTGGCTTCTTTACAGGCGCAGTGCAAAAACCAGAGGTTCTCATCGTTGAATCTATAATACTCGAACTCTATTTCAAGCTGATCTTCCGCTTTAAGTAAATACGAGTAATGTTGACGCAGAAGTTCAACGTCGATCTCAAAATTAACCTTTTCTCCCGAGCTCTTCGTTTTGTCCATGTTGACTTTGACGTTAATTCGTTCGGCGGTATTACGACGTTTGCGCGCTCACGCACGATGCACAATCACTTATTATATGAATTATTTTTCACTTCTATAATCACTCGCTGCATTGAATTCGATATTTTTTTGGTTGGCTTTTAAACACGTGGGCGAAGCTATTCGAGAGACACGAGTGGCGCAAGTTGCGTGAAACCTTCTTACAGGTGTCGTTTTACACAGCGAGAGACACTCGCTCAGATGGGCACATGCGCGCGAGTAATGGGGAGACATGACGCGTTGCAATCGGGCTACTTTCACCTGCATAAGTTAAATTGAGTGCGCACTAAATTCAAATCCCTCGCTTTCATTGAACAACGTTCATTTTTCAAATTTTCGGAATCGGAGTACGGCCGTAGAACGAATCCGAATTAAGCCGAACAATTTAAATTCGATACTTGACGTTTCCATTCATAAATATCATTGATACGTAACAGATATAAAGGTTGACAATTCACTCTTACCTATTTGTTTGTTACACTTGTCGTCAAAAACAAAACAAAAGTGGCATACCACTCATTTACCAAACGATTCTGTTATTGTAAAGACCTCGTGTATAATTAAAGAAAACATACTTGTACACAATTAAATTATAAATAATTACGATAAAAAATAATCAAACACCAAGCAAGTTAAGTTAATTCAATTAAAAAAAAGGTCAAATAATACTCAAAAAACGCTTGACGCTCGCTTATTACACGTTCACTCCTCAAAACCATTGCAACTAAAGACGTTTCGCTTGAAAAAATATCCCATCCACGATTTTTCTTTCATTCGCTCTTCATTCCGCGCTCTTGAGCTACGCCATTCATTCGAACGGTATTGTTACGAGTGAACGAATGTTTCAATCAAACGCAAATCCAATTATCTCGTGCAATTGTGTACCATAAGAATATGTACGCAGTTCGGACTTCGATAAAAGTCGCAAAGACTAACGGTAACCTTGCGATCGTAAAAAATAACAAACCGTCTCATTAAGTTTCAGTATTTTGGCATATTGTAAGACTTTGAATTCAAGTGTACAAAAGTAACGTTTATTTAGGTGGAAAATGACACTGTTATTGGGTAAATTATTAATCATGTAAAAAACTTTTTTTAAAGAAATTAACAAAAAAACTCAACTTTATGCTAAACATTAATTTTTTGTTAAAAATTTCATGTATTAAAAATTGTTTGAAGATTCAATCATAATTAAAGCCTGTTTACACCGCTAGATGGCTATTAACTTAACTTGTAAAAATCTACATGTGACATAGGAAAAATAAGTGTATAAGTCAAAGCAGGATATCTAGTAAAAGTAATGACTGTTGAAATAAAATCTCCATGGTGATTTAATTTTCATATAGTTTCGCTACACGATTAAATTCGACTGATCGACTCGCGAAACCGAAATAATTCCATGAAGCAACAATGCCACAGTGCATATAGATAGCAATAGATCGATTTATACGCTCGTGGCCATAAACATTGGAATGCGCGACTATCAATCGGCGACGAACAATGAAAGAAATTCTCGATATATATCGGCATCGAAAGTACATATATACGCATTGACGTTCTGTTATGCCTACACCCCCGCAGACGTCAACTGTACGGATCCGGTGGCAGCGTGTTCCACGCGCCAGTGGGATTCGCCCTCGAGCCGGGCGGTGGCACACTGCAAAAATCCTCGACTCTGTTCCCGTCCTACATGGGCGGCTTCCACCAGTACGACCCCACGGCCTCGTTCTCCGGCGAGATGCGCCAGAACAGCTTCTGCGAGCACGAGCCCAACTGCGTCAGATTTCACAGGTATTACGCGATGCGCATTTTTTTTTTTTTTTTTATAGTCGAGTTGAAATTTTGTTCGAGGTTGGTATTGCATAGTATTTGTAAGGATTAGTTCATGTTAAGTGTCGAATACAATGAGATTTTAAATAATGTTTGTTTGTGTAAGATAGTGTTTATTGTTTTACGTTAATTGTTTTTTAATTAACATTTATGTTGAGTCTAAAATGTTACACGATAAAATCATCTCTGTCATTCACTGTTATATTCACTAAATTCGACGGAACGAGGCAAAAAAACACCATTAACATCCGCATATAATCTCTCTCTCTACGATCCTCGCAGCAGTTGCAGCAACACGAGCCTCGGCTTGGGCGACGCCGCGACCGGTGCCGGTGGTGGTGGTGCTTCCAGAGGCGGCGGTGGCAACGGCAAACGATCGGGCGCCAGTAGCAGGCGCAATCACAGCAATCTGGAAACGTCGGCGACGTCGCTGCACTCGAGCGGCCAGGACTCGGGCATCGTCGCGGGTGGCGGCGGCCCGACGCGCCTCTGCCAGTGCAGCAACTCGTCCAGCCCGGCCAGCAGCGGCGAAAGTAGCAAGTCAGTCTTTTACCGGCCGAGCTCGCAAAAGTAAACTCGCCAAACCACACACATACACATACAGACAGTACACTCACACTCGCACGAAATTCGATCTGTTCGATTATGCATGCTGTTAATTCGCGATTTAAATGTGTACGGAAATTGAATGTCGTAGATAATTGTTTTTGAATAAATGTTTCGATCGTGAAATTACAACGAGACTGTCAAGCGAGAATTTTGCACGATAACTTTTGCTCTATACGTCTATCTTTTCCATGCTCATCATCGTCATTCTCTCTTCTCTTTTTTTTTTCATCGCTATACGCGAATTTCATCGGCTCTTCTCTTTTTTTTGTCTGTCCGCAGCGATTACGAGGACTCGCTGAAATCGCTGCATCACCAACACCATCGACACCACCACGGCCAACAACAACTGCAACTGCATCGTTCGCGAGGGGGACAAGATTTACGCCGCGGCAACAACGCAGCCAAGGGGAACAATGGCAACGCGAAAAATCCGATGCTGCTATCGAAAAAGCATCGCTTTCACTCGTTCACGAATCTCGAATCGATCTATCAGGCCGAGCCGAGCAGTCTGCAGTACGAGAACAACGGCGGCGGCGGCCGTGACAGGCGCTATCAAACGATGCTCATGGATCAAAAACGTCAAAGGTTTTTTTTTGTTTGAACATCATCAATTTTTTTTTTTTTCATAATCGGATATAGTGTATATAAGTTATCGCATGCAGCCAAATTGTGCGCAACCATCAAACGAAATCAATTTTCTTTTCTTTTTTCTCTGTGTTTTCGTTAACGTTGCGCCCCGGCTCCGTTTATTCTCCAAAACGCACGCCGCGTACACACACACGTACACGCACGATCGCACACGTACTACTACTGCTGCAGCGGCAACGCGTTCAACAGCTCGAGCGCAATTTACTCGATCGCCCACAGACGCACGTTCTCCGAGGCCGAGAATCTCAACAACATAACCGAGACGGTGATTCAGGAGCATCCGCTGCGCCAGCCGAGATCGCTCGGCTCGATGGGAAATTTGCCAGCCGCAATATCCTCGTCGTCGTCGTCGTCGTTTCTGCACGGAAAGGGAAAAGCGATGATTGCGGCGGCGGCGGCAGCTAACTCCTCCTCGACGCAACATTTGAGGTCCGCCGATAACGTAATTTACGCCAGGCCAAGGTGTAATTTTACTTGAGAATCGTCCTCGAGAAACTCGAGCCTGTGTAGCGTTTATCGTCGAGAGCAAGTCGACTGTGTAATGAGCGAATAACACGCCGGTTTTGCTGTTATTATCAATCAAATGGAAGCTATACGTGTAGTTTAAAATAGTTATGATTAGTATTCCTTTTGTAAAATGATAATTGTACATCGATAGCATGATTCTTTTGGGCAGTCCGCGAAAGATAGCCAAAAATGTAAACTCTAAATGCAATCAAATAATATTTTGTAATAAATTTAGATTAATTTCACTTAATATGCTATATCGTTAACTATTTACATTTGCGTGCTTGTGCAACTTATTTTTACGATGATTCGAGCGAGTCATAAAAGTATAGTTTTCAACGATGTTTAATACGCTAGAGAGCACTGAAAAGAAAATAGTTTGAACATGTTAAAAATCACTTAAAAAGTTGTAAAAGAAAAATGCAAGTGCACCATTTGCGTGGTCGTAAGAATTTTCACGACCCTAAAAATGTGTGGTATAATCGATGGCACATTTGTATACAGAATACTTCACATTCACCAAATTACCGATACCATAGAATTATTTACCTGATTATTGTAATTAAGGAATAAGATAATTTGTTTTTATATTTAACACTTGAATTTTGTTACGAGTGTACACTTAACTGTAAGTTCCTAATCAACTGTAAATACAGTAACAAAAAATGATGATGATGATGATGTATTATCGAATTTAATAGAGACATATCGAGTTGTAAATGTTGATAGATGTTTTTTTTTGTTCTACATATTGAAATAAGAATAGAAAACCTTTGTAACGCTAATCTTTATTATATAAATAAAAATCCAATGAATCAAGCAGCGCATTTATTGTTGACGAGAAGAAAAAAAAATTCTGCATCGAGCAATCTTGACCTATCTTTGAAAAAAATCACAGAAGCTTAGTCGCGAGGGAGAGAGCATCCATCAACCTTTCCCGGCATTATTCAATGTTAAGACCTTTGAATTTTTTTTCATCAAATTTACGAATGAAAAGTAATAGAGAAATTTTTAATTTTGTTAAAATGTTGAGAACACGGACGAAGTAAACTTTTGTACTTCACCTCGAGCTTTCGAGTATCGCAGGATCGCATCCTAAATTACGTGTAACTCGAGTAGGAGAGGCAAGCCGAGCTCCGGTCTCTCGTTTCAAAAGGGGTTGAAATATTTTCGAAATTGATGTTTCCAAAAGAAAAAGAAAGACGGCCGAAGCGAGTTTTTCAACCTCGACCGCAACCTTAAACGAAGGACTTCGAGGGGTATACGAGTAGAAGCACAACTGTTGCTTCAGACTGCTGTGCACTACTGATATATAACTGTGTGTTCGTGCATATAGATGTGTACGCTCGTGCGAGTGTGTCGCGGTGCGACTGATGGGCTCTCGTGACCTCGGCATTATTGGAGCGCACGGAATAAAAGCAGAGGGAACTGATTTTGCCACGCGCTTGCAAGCTCAGTCTGATTCTCTCTCGCTCGCTCTCTCTCTTTTTTTTTCGCACACTTCGACGACTGGATTTGCCCGCGAGCTCCCTTTAACTCTTCGCTTGTTACCTTTTCTTTGTCGACGCGCGGCCTCGCGGCGCGCAAATCCGCAAACTTCCACCGCTAAAGCCGCCGCCACCACCGCCACGTTATTGACGAGTCAATGCTTGTAAGAGTCGGGTTTTTCTTCAAATTTTTTCGCGTTGACACTTGTACATACTCTGATGAATAATAATCAACATGAATAATGGTCCAATCATAAAAATTCCTGTTTAAAATTTTTGACAAATACATTATGTAATGTATTGATTAGTTTTTGGCGATTTTCCATTAAAGAATTATTTCACTAACATTGAACTCATTTGAAATGACTTCAAAATGCCAATTGTACATTCAGACCAGATTTCAATCACATTGTATACGATACTACTACTTTAAGTCTACACCGTTAGATGGCAAGTACCTTTAAATCTGTAAATCTGCAAGTAGCAAAGTATAAAAATATTTGTATAAGTCAAGCCAAGCTAAGCACATCCTTTAAATAGGTACACTATAATAAACACTTGGAATCTTATAAAAAATTCAATGATGGAATAAAAGGTTCAAATTTTGATACAGTTGAACCATTTAATGTAGGATATATGACTCCCACATATTCCACAATCCAACCCCTCCTTTAACAAAAGAAAATTTATTTTCGGAAGTCAAGAAATTGTATCGCCTCGAAAATATGAAATCCTTGAGTCGTAATTCTGATGACTTGAACAAATCGTATCGGAGTAACGAAGGTATTAATTTAAATTTAGATCAATTTCTTAATTATAATAATTATTATTTATAACAATCTACGTGGAGTCTAATTCTTACAGTGTGTTGCACTGTTGAACCGGAGCGCACAAGTTTCATTACCTTTCAAAAACTATTTCGATAAAAAATATTCTCTCCGAATCTTACAATGGAACGAGATGATTCCGTAAAAATTCGATAGCGTCCTCGACGAATTTCACTTCGTAAATAATGCTCTCGCGATACAAACGAAAATAATAGTACAATCGAATTAATAACTCAAACGTGTCGATATATAGCGTATATATAATTTTCAATGAAAGCTCGAACTTTCGAAAATAAAACGGAAACGGCAGAAATTGTAAAATGGCAATTGCCAGCCCTTGACACAATTAAAAGTAGCAGCGGCAGTGTGCCATGCACACAATCTGTCTGCAGGACTTAGCGCGCGCGGCGGCAGGCGAAAACGCTTAGGAAACAATTACCAACGGACTAACCCATTTACGACGATTTATTTCTCTCTCCTCCCCCTCTATGAGTGCCGCGAACAACCCAAAAGTGACGAGGCAACCGCAGCAGAAACGTAAAATGTATGTGGTGAGGCCTAGCTTTGGCAAAAAAATGTCAAATGACAGAACGGATAGATCCGCCGCTCGGCGACTGCTCCAATGTGCAACAGTTACTCCGTTATAGTTTGCCTTTAGGTATATATACTCTAAATATGCACAAGTGCACACCCGAAGCCATAGTTCGGCCGGTTGAGATTTTCACTTCTCCGTCAGCCGTTGTTTTACGGTTTTCTCTCGCCATCGATTCTTGCAGCTCTGCACACCCCCCAACACATACACACCCAAACTCATACATATAGGTGCCACTGAACGAGAAACACATGTGCACGTAATACCGAGCGAATGGAAAGGCTTTCCGCGCACTGCACTTCTTTTATAGGTCAGGGTGACAAATTTATTAGTCGTTACATTCAGCGCGCGCGCGGGTCATTTCCAGGTAATACGTAAAAATCTATTATTAATAACGTTGCACTTTGATTCTGCGGGCTTCGTTCAAATTTTTCCTTCCCTTTCTCAACTCCTCCACAAATACGCGAGCTTATTTCGATGGAATTTTGCGAGCGAGCTGTGTATCACCCCCGCGCGCGATTATATCATCCAACGGAATTCGAATTAATCAAAACACGAGGTATATGGAGGAAAAAACGCGTTGTGATAGCAACGCGCGCTCGCACGTCCACATTGTGTATATCGAGTCACGAAACAACGAAGCAGAAAATTACCCCGTAAAATTGTAATTAAGGTATTTCCAGGCGGCGCATGACAGGGCTCGCTTAATATAAACTCGGATACGATCGGACGCGATAAGACCGAGCGCCGTCATCGATCTCGCGGCGATAATTGATACATATTGTATATCGTAAACGATCTCATACATATCCATCGCGTCGAAGGTGCGCATCGAAAAATTGAATATAAAGCACGTATATCAATTATCGCACGATATTATTGTAAAATAAATAATTTACTCGAGTATATGTAACAGGAAAAGATAATCAAATGCTCGTATACCGTGTGACTGTGTGTGTGTGTGTGCACATGCAGCAGCTTGTGTATTATCATGTATAATACACATCGCGCAAAATATAATAATAATACGTACGGGCGGGGGGCGGGCGGGTGCGATACCGTGAGTAGGACACGTCCTTGACATTGATAAGCCTCGACACGGTGTGTATGTATGTGTGTGTGTGAGCGCGCGGCGGTATATAGGTAGAGGTAGTGCGGTAGATGTATATAGGTGGGGTAGGCAGGCGGTTCATAATTCAGAGGCGCGCGGCTATATTAAATTTTCATCATCAGAGCAAACCTTAATGCCGCGCTCAACTCAATCGCACGCCAATTAACTGCACAAGTTACTCTCTCTCTCTCTCTCTGTTTTGCGCGCTAATGGACAATAAAAAGCTCCCGCGACGCGATCGAGATGATGGCAAGGGTGTAAAAAAAAAATAATAAACGGGCGTAAGGCACGACGGGGAAGAGTGAAAATTTTGACATGCATTTTCTATACACGCTCTCTGCGAGGGATAAACTTCGAAAAGCGATGCGTACGCCTAAAATGTAGTTGTACCGGTAGAGGGCTTCGGACCAATAATCTTAAATCCCAATGTAAATAGAGAGACTGACTCGCATATATTGACGAAGACCGAATCTTTTTGAAAATCATCGTCCCAACTTAGCTTTTCGTGGAAAATCAACACTCATAAAATTATGAGTTAAATTACTGCCTAAACAGATCGTTGGAGAACTCGAAAAAATCAATTGTTAGTCTGTATAAAAAACGGCAGAATCGTGAACTCGATTAAAAATTATTTAATGTATCATATATTACCCTCTGTTCTAGTGAAATGGTATTCGATTGGTAAAGCTTGACGAAATAATTAGCAAACAAAACTCCACACGGTAATCAAATTAATACCCTATATATACCTATACCGCATAGTATGCACGGTGTACGCCAGGGAACGGTCAGTTTACTATCTGCGGAGCTATAGTAAATCTAAAATACTAAGCAATGGGACGTGGATGATAAAAATAAAAAGGCACTGCAGCCAAGAGAGCAATTTGACTCGTACGTAGAAGCTAGGCGCTCGAGCGATCCCTATAGATCGCGTATACGTATAATCAAGCTCCGTAAAAGCTGGTGCTTTGCATGTGCGGGTGATGGTGCGCGCGCGAGGGTGGTTGTATCGTGTATACATACACATACGTCCCGAGTCGACACCGCGTCTACGTATAATATACGATACTTTTACACACGTGCTCGCCTATGTACGCGACAGTAGCAAACAGAGGTGCACGTATATACACGCGTATCGAAATACGCACATACACACGGCAATATAAGATCGTCGGTGCACTGCTGCGCTGCTGCTGCACACCTCTCCGCGGACTGGTGCACACGACTAGCGTGGTGTAGGCGCTTGCGCAGTCGCGTCTCGCAAGCTCGCAGTCGAGCCGCGCGCCGACACAAGACAGCAGCAGCAGCAGAGGGAAAGAGCGAGAGAGAGAGAGAGAGAGTGTGTGTGTGTGCTCGGCGGCGCTGAAAGCGAGACGCGGGCGGTGCTGTGTCGCTAGTACTCCACCGACAGTAGACCCGGACGCGATAGAGAGAGAGAAAAATTGAGAGTGCGAGAGAGCCGCGAGCAGCTTCCTCGCGCGATTTTCGGTGTGCATCTAAACATTTGAAAAGTAAGAGGCCCGTCCGAGCGACGATTCTCGCAAAGGAATTTTACGCAAAGTAACCAACGCTCGAGAAATTCTTCGAGCAACCCCCTTGATTCTCTCCGTCGCAGTCTCGTGGTCAGTTCTACGTTAAAAATACAAAAAATAAAAAGTAAATAAATAAATTCACGATAATCGATCCTCTCCCCCCGGAGTTAACCGAATACGAATCGCGAGGCCGGTGCTTGTGTGAAGAAGAAAAAAAACTCGTTAGCCCGTGCGCGAGTGCCCATCAGAGGCTCTCGGATGCCCGCGTGCAGCCCCAGCCCCCCAGGTAGCGGTGCAGCAGCGGTAAGCAGCAGCAGCAGCAGTAGCAGCGGCCAAGCCGACCAACGGGCAGTGCCGCCCTCCTCCCATGCCAACAGAGGCCTCGGTCGGCGGCCCACAACAACAACAACAACGTCAAGAACAAGACAAGCAGCAAGACCCTGCAGCTGCGCCGATGCTCCAGCCACCGGTGTCGCTGCTCGAGATGGCCTCGTTACGACTGCCCGACTCGGACGAGTTCGACCTGGAGCGTAGACGCGGTCAGGCGGCGGTGGCTGCGGCGGCGGCCGAGGCGACGAGGCAGTCCTCGCAGCAGCATCCCAGCGTCGTCTCCACGACCGGTGGAATCGTCGTCGGCGGTGGCGGTGGCAGTGGCCTGACGGCTCTCGGCGAGCTGCGCAACCTCGTGGGCTCGCGGGCCGAGCTGCTGGCCGACTACGTCAACGGCTCGCTGCAGGATCTCTTCGTGCTGGCGAGCACCCACAGGCCCGGCAGTTCACAGTCGATGTCGCCCACCGAACTCGGCTCCGGTGCTAGTGGCAGTGGTGTTGTCGGCAGCGGTGCCGGTGGTCTGAGTCTGGGCGGCCTCGTGGACCCCACCTCGGCCGTGGTCGACGACGACTTCGTCCTCCAAGCCCTGTTCAACGCGACGACGAGCGCCGCCGGCGGCGTCAACAATCTGTCGCTGGAGCACGTCTCCGATCGCTACTACAGGCACAGCGTGGCCATGTCGGTGGTGTACTTCGTCGCCTACTGCCTCGTCTTCGTGGTGGGCCTGATCGGCAACAGCTTCGTCATCGCCGTGGTCTATCGGTCGCCCCGCATGCGCACCGTCACCAACTTCTTCATCGTCAACCTCGCCGTGGCCGACGTGCTCGTCATCGTCTTCTGCCTGCCGGCCACCCTCATGAGCAACATTTTCGTTCGTGAGTAGCAATTACCGCACCAACCTCTCTCAGCTTTGTATACGTTCGTTTGTTTGTGTATATTGGACAGGGGAGAAACTTATTTTGAAATTTGCCGCGCTTTTTGCTGCACGCGTAGGTGCGAGCGACAGCCGAGCGGGGGCGCAGTTATAGTTCGCGCGAGAGAAATAGTTTCGAAAAGATACAAATTGCCGATTTGTGAAAAATATAATAATGTTTAAACGTCATTGGTTTGCTTCAATTTTCGAGGCGATACAGTTTCTTGACTTCCAAAAAGAAATTTTCTTTTGTTAAGCATTCGGGTGGTGAAATACGCTCAAACGTTGAGATAAATTTTAAACTAGCCCTAAAGTACAACCAAATATTGTTAGAAATTGGCACAGACGACTTGGAAAAAAAATAACAGAGTCGACGCGCGGATGTACTCCTGACAGCGCGAGTGGAAATTTTTATCGAAATTTTTTTGTCGTCGCGAAAATACGCAATTGTCAATCGTGACGAATAACCAGGCAGCCGTCTTTTTTTTTTACCGTACTCGCGAACGAACGCAAATGATTCATTAATCTTGCTATTTTTCAAACAATTTGCCGCGCACTTTTTCTCGCGTCGGTACACACAATGATTCGATCGACGAACGCACACAAAAAAAAGGTACAACGAGCCGTCCAATTAAAATTCCTATGTACGAAATTGAAAAAGTACTGGAAAAAGTACTCCGAAAATTGGCGGATACATCCCAAAAAACTAACACACACACACACGTGTACACGTTATTGCATATCGTTGCGGCTCGACGAAATGTAAGTCAAGTTTTTTTCATACGTTCGCGAGCGCAAAGGGGAACGAGACGAGAGGCTCGCGGGCACGAATGAGATAGAGTCCGTATTAAAGACCACTCGTAATACTGCGACACTTTTATTATACACACACACACACACACACACGTGGTGTACGTATGTATGTGTATGCCCTATCGTAATTCAACACACAGCTTGAAATACTGCGCCACCCTCTAACTTTCTCAGTACCTGTCTATGCTCCAATATATACACACGGCGCAGTAGAGCTTGCAAGTGTGCAAGTTCGATAGTAGTAGTGGTATTATACACGCGGATGCACAGAGAGACAAGAGATCCGCGCGTCTTGACATGCCCGTTACGTATATACATAAGCTTCGTCTCGCTCTCTCTCTCTCTCTCTCTCTCTTAGCTTCCGTATCGTACACTACATGCTCTCTATACATACGCAAGATGTATTATGCATATTAATAGCGCGTGTAGCATGTATGTATACACGAATATTTTGTCCCAAACACTTGGCTATGCAAACAGGCGAGCAACTGCTGCAGCAGTGGCAGCAGCGACCCATGTATCTATCGTATATTATTATGATGTACACGCTTATAGCCCAGCAACGAGCTCGTATATATACATTATAATATTAGCCGATACGATCGCGAATGATACGGGTACAGATAGACGCGAGTTTGTGTGCGTATGTTATTATAAAAGATCGAGTGATGCAATCGAGAGAACGAGACAAACACGCGTTGCGGCACACGTTTTGCGCGAAATTCGCTAATGAGACATCATTAGTGCCTTTCCACGCGCGCAAAGTCGACGATACACACGTATGTGATACGTGTATTCCATCTTCTCTCGCGACTCGCTCTAGCTGCCAAAGACTTAATAAATGACGATGAAAATTTGCGCGTGTACCGACACGTATTACATGCTCGTGCGGGCAGTCGCGCGTTTCGAGCTGTTTTAGTCGCGAGTGCATCGGTGTGTTTGTACTGTACTTATTCGTACGCTTTTAGCGATGAAAAAGAGAGAAAATTTACTTTGGCTCGAAAACCGACCGTACGTCGTGACGGCTGGCTCGTGGTCGAGCTTGCGATCGTTGAAAAATTAATGCAATATTGTATATCGCGCGTCGCGAGGAAAATCGCTGTACACGACGAAACGATCATTGTAATATCTTTCGATTAATCGATCGTTCGTCTCGATGACTTCGTTGAAAGGTAATATCAAATATAGCCGGTTAGCCCGAGTCCGCAAGCATATAAGAGCTTTTTCGAATTTGAAGTACGTCGTTTTCCAATATTATTTTATTGTTTTTGGCAGTAAGTCGAGCGCGTCGCGCCCGCTGCTCGAAACTTATTTTCCCGCAACCGATTATTGGACGCGTACACACAGACTCGACGTACAGACTCGTCGGAGAGAGAAGCGGTAAAAACACGTCGCACGTCGAGTCAACAAATTTTCCTCGCGTTTGCTCGACAGTTCGACGAACAAAAAAAAATGCACTCGAACGATCGAGCTGCGCCGGTTGTATAGAACGCGCACGAGAAATATGTATGAAATTTTTCTGTATGTGCGAGTAGCAGCAATCGAGGCGTCATTCATGATGTCCTGCCCTGCCAACGGCCTTTAAGCGCCCGCATTGTTGGGCTTTTCTTTTGTTTTCGTTATTTTATTTTCGCGCGTCGCTGGGCAAGGGCTGTATCATTGACTGGAGAACGACTCTGAACGTTACGGTATGCGAAGATCGCCACGGTCCTGAATACAATATACGGCAGGCGTGTGACGTTTGCGTGAGTGTGTGTGTACGATAAATACTCATACATAGGCTCGAGGTGAAGGCGACGATGGACTAATGAGCTAAAAAAAATAATATCGAAATTCCCCGTGTCCTATGATTTTCCTTGCCGCGGGGGGGATGATAGATTAACCGTTATACTTATTTTTTTAACCCGAAACATTCGATGCGATATTTTGCAATGAATTTTCCTTATTTTGAATGGCTCGACGTAAAGTAGGATTACGAACTTGAAAATCGCGACGCGTCCACGTTTGGATTGAACGAGACGAGTCTCGGTCAAATGTGAAATTCGATATTGCTCGAGGACGAGAGAGAATTTTTATCGTGAAATTCTTTTCTATTAGAATATGACTTGATTAAAGCATTTTATTCAGCGATGATCAATATCATCATTGAAATTTTGCGAACTTGAATCGGGCTTATGCGGAATAAAACGTGACAATGTCAAACTGGCATCGATGAAAGAGCAGAGAGCAACAGCGCCCATATTTGCCTTATGCAAACAGAATCTCTCCTTCGTTTCTATTAGATCAGTGTATAAATTAGTAGAAAGAGGGTAAAACACCGAAATCCAATTAGCTTGTTCAAATTGATTTTATTTGACAAAAGATACATCAATTTTCAAATCATCGCATCGAATGTACATGAGTTAGGGAATACGAGAATTATGTATACAGGACTGTATGAAGTACATAGGAAAAATGAAAATTCAGATATACATTTTTCAAAATACTATAATTTAATAATTACATTTTATGCTTTATATTCATGAAAAAATCACAAAATAATTGATGTACGTAAATAGCTTCCGTTTTTTGAAACAAGTTGAAATAAACGAAAAAAGTTTATCATGCTTAAAAATGCGTAAGGTATTCTTGCAACGTTTGATAATGCATATATCCAGTTTTTTTTGATATTTAAGAGGCAGATAAACCAATTGTTTCAGACAAAGGATATAATTATTCGAACTTTTCAAGGTTGCGCAGCTTTTTTTTAAGCCGCATCCCCGATGCTCCTTTGATCAGTCGATATCGAACGTTCAAGGTTGCCCGTTTCCCGTTGCAGAAAGAGCTAGAGCTGCACTTGACTGCGCTTTTTCGCTTTATTATTATTATTTTTTTTCTCTCTCTCGCTCTTGCGATACGAAAGCAAACGGATGCAGAAAGGGAGAGAGGGTGAGGGGGGATCTCGTTCGATGCAACAACACACCGGAGGGGCTCGGAAGATTACTTTTGATACAAACAAGCTATTAAGAGCTACTTCGTGCGTATAAGAGCGCTCTCGACGTTAAGGAAAATTCAATTATTCGACGAGCGCTCGATTCCGCTCGGCCAGGATTAAACAAATGGAAAACAATATTTTTCTCTCGGGATCGTGACTACATCGAAACGCGAGCTTTCGTCGATTTAACGATGATTTTTACACCTGTTTACATCTGTCACTTCATAAATAAACACATCGATTTCGAATGATTTACAATTAATAGAGAATATTCAAATCAAATATTGACGAATTTTCATAGATACTACGGCTTTATTTACGTTTCGGGTGAACCAATCAAAATAATTATCTAAGTAACCTCTCCAAACTAATTACGAGACATAAGTTAGCCTCGACGTGCAATCGTCACAAATATCGATGTATTACATCGAAACTCGCGAAGTTAAAAATCCAGCCGCATTGCCATCGACCATATTTTTTCAAAATTAAAAGATTAATCGCGTGCTTGCGAACGGGCGACTACTTACTCGCCGTTCGTAATGAAAATGCCGCCTCTCGGAATAAAATTACACCACTCGCGCTCGGCTAAGGTAGCTGCACAGAAGTTTTAAAACCACAGCCTTGACCAGAACCTACGTATAGATCGTGCTTGCGGTTGCGGACGCGCGAGAAATCACGGCGATGTTCCTTGCTACGTACATACTTTCGTGCACGCGGCTAATCTCTCAGCGAGTCGGTCAAATTTGTTCTTTTTGATGTCGATACCGCGGAGCTTTTTTGCGAGTTGCTAATTTTCATAAAGGGGAAAAAAACGTACGACGGAGAGTAATTGACTTTCTAGGCTGCGAGAGCAAATTTTCTTCTCTCTCTCTCTCTCCTTCTCCACGTGGTGCGCCGCGCGGCTAATAAAATGAAATTTCAATGCCGTCAAAGTGTATTTAATTCTCGTGAAAATTGTATCACTCGGCTCGTTACTCACGCTTATTACAATTATAATTGAGAAAAAAATGTGCACACACACACACACAAACGACCCACACACGAGTTCACCAGTACATGCATACATCATTAAGCGCGAGACTCTATAATGCGAAAATGATAAGTCTTGAACTCGCGGGCGCGCACACGCGGCGGCGGCGGCGGCGCTAAATAAACTTTCAATGTTAAATTATACA